AGCCGAAACCCCCGAAGACCTGGAGCCCGCAAGTAGCCCAGTCTGTCAGCTTGTGGACTTTTGTTGGAGAGGGGGTGGGGTTAGGCTTTAGGATTTAAGGGTGAAACGATCGGGTCAAAACAGGCTGGGAACGAAAGTAGTGCCAAGGAGCCAGGGCCAAGCGACTGAAGGCACGCACTCTGCATGCCCTGTCGCCTGTGCAGCTTCCAATTGAGTATGGTGTTTGGGGCAGTTTATTGTGTCCAAGTCCTGGACCCTAGTCCTGCAAACCCTCATACCACGAGCAAAATCTCAAATCCCCGAAGCCGGATTTCTGGCATGCAAGGTTTAAGCTTCGAGTTTTGACGAAGGGGATGTTGCTCTGTGCTTCTTTAGCCTTCACAACTTGCCGAGGGTTCAGGGCCAAGGTGCTGTCCCACCAGAAAAGCCTCGTGAGCTGCAGTGTGGCCCGGAGGGCACCTTGCCAAGACGAGCGGCTCCCGGCTGTGGGGCTTTAGCTCTGGAGCTGAGATCGACACCCCAAAAAAAACCCAAAAGCCTAAAGCTCACTAGGAAGCCTAAAATGAACATCTGTACATGTAGCTTCGGGTCTGAGGTCTGAGGTGCATGCGACTGTACTTGTTACCTCGGGATAGAAGGTCATGACAACACAGAGGCATGTGTGTTGTTTACGTCTGGACGAAATCGGGCCTGTGCCTGGTTAACCTGAATGCTATCTTCTTTTGATTGCTGGGCTGTGTGTGTGTGAGACCTTGATCATACATTTTGCTACCGATAGGAACATTGTAGACATCCATCTACCAGTCAATCTGCCTATATATCCATCAAGCCCTCTATCTGACTATTTATATCTCTCGCTCCCTCCCGGGCATAAGGGCAGGTCAATGCTTTCGGGCATCATGCCCATCCGATGTTGTATCGGGTAAGAGGGAGTGAGTAACGAATGTACATCATCAAAGAACTAAAGCCATATAAAACTACGATAGCGAAAGATTGATGATCGTACATTCTCAAAGACACATGCATGGATAGACGTCAAGTGCCCTGTCCAAGGAGATAAACATGAAATCAAGCACACCTATGGCAAGCAAGCACACCGGTCATCGACGTCCCCCGGCGAGTGCAAGTTCAGCACGCGTCGTGATGAGCATCGTGTACTCTCCATTGCGAATCCTTTACAATTCGATCCCGTGACCTCTACAAGTCAGCACGATCAAGTGGTTTGGATTCAAACAGTATCCTAGGAGAATGTTTCCACCAACAGTTAAGCGAAACCAAAATAAAACATAAAGTAACACAAGGTGCTTTCCCCCAGTACCTGCGGTGGCCTAGTTTCTACATCATTGCACAATGTCTTCCTTTGGCCTGTATCAAGTTAAAAAACAACCACACAACACCTCCTGAAAGCCCTAAAGAGCTACCATGTGAACAGAGTTCAGAACTAGCCAACAGATCCAGAAAGCCATGGCATAAACAAATGAGAACGTGCTTACCCCCGAGCAGCTTGGGACCTGATCTTCAAGTCTTCAAGTCAAGCAGAACGTTCATCTGCAAAAATTTGCGTTCCCCTGCGAAGGGTGTGCATTCTAATTATCATCGTGGACGGCAGGCGGACTGGCAAGAATTTGGCCAAGGAGGCCTCGAACAATTAGGGCCGTGGCGTTGCAAGTCGGCAACAAACCTAGAAGGAACTTTGATTGGCGATGTCTTCTGCCGAAGCCATCTACAATACAGTTGAAGTACATCACTTCGCTCCCGGCTTGTATTACAAAGCGAGTATACTACAGAGTTTCATTGGTGCGTCAAGTTTGAAACATGCATATCTGGTTGGAAGATATGCTCAAACTGTTGGGACCAAATGTCCCCCCGGCTGCTCACTGCCTCCCAGTGCTCGAGTGACGTGCCCCCCACTGGACTAGTTGTACTCCTTGCCACCGCTGATTGGGTGTCAGCAACACTCGGTTGGTGCTGGTTTCCCCCACTGCTCTGATGCTCCCCTCTGCTGGGTGTTGTGGTCGTAGCTGTCGGCGGAGGGCTGCGTCGTCGTCTTCTTTTAAGTCCCCCGCTTCTGAGCTTTGGTTTTCTTCTTCACTTTGCGGGCTTGCTTCAGTAGTTCTGGTATTTTGCCAGGAAACTGCATCACAGGACGCGGGTCTCATTTGCCACCTTGGGAAGGTACTTATCCACGATGTGGGTCAGCTTGTCCGCTGTCCCCCGCCCAGCATAGTGGTACTCCCCGGTCGCTGGCTGGCAGGTCAGACTGGCGGTGGACGGAGTGGTTCGCCTCCCGCCTTTTTGAAGCGTCCGAGTAGAAGACCTTGCAGTCTTGCAGTCGCGGTCAATGGTGTAGCACTGCAAATTTGCCCTCTTCGGTTACGGCCGAAACCCCTTCTAGCGGTCGCGGCGGGCCTCGCAAGCAACGTGCCGGCAGCCTGGGGAAAACGGAAGGCTCCCCCAGAGCAGAGCTCCAGGTTAACCCCCCGTCTCCCCCCCGATGCAA